AAACTGAGTGTTTTCTGGAACTAGGAATGAGTTCGGCTATGAGTTGGTCATGGCACACCTGACTTATCAAGTGCAAAACCCCACTTGTGGCGTCATCTCAAATCCTACGTATCACCGTATAACCCGATGTGGTCGAGGACATATCAAAATCCAAAAATTAGCCATTTTCCCAACTTAAATCAAACCTTCAATTCAAATTCACCCAACCGAATAAACCATCCTACAATATTTTTTGTAATTCGAGTGTGAAGAGAAGAGCGGGCCAACCAGGTTCGCATCAACCTTGCTCAAGGAGGTGAGTCTAAGGATTTCCAACAGTATGATTCAGGATCTAATGCCCCAAAATTGACTGAGATACTACATGAATTTCAGGAGTTGTTTGTAGAACCTAAGACACTACCACCCAAAAGGCTCTTTGATCATGAGATTCCCCTAATTCCAGGAGCTAAACCCGTGAACTTTTAACCCTATAGGTATTCTTTTGCACAGAAAAACACAATAGAGAGGATGGTGGAAGAGATGTTGGCAGCATGAATCATCTCTCATAGCACATCTCCATTTGCCTCCCCAGTATTGTTGGTTCCTAAGAAGGACAATACTTGGAGGTTTTATATAGACTATAGGGCTCTGAATAACATCACTATCAAAAACAAATTCCCTATCCCATTGGTTGAAGATTTGTTTTCAGAGTTAGCCAATGCTAAGATCTTCACTAAGTTGGATTTAAGGGATGTATACCATCAAATCAGAATGAAAGAAGGAGAGGAACATAAAACAACTTTTAGGACACACCAAGGGTTGTATGAGTTCAAGGTAATGCCTTTTGTCTTGACAAATGCCCAGCCACATTCCAGGCTCTCATGAATTATGTGTTCAAGCCTTTGATCATAAAAACTATTCTAGTTTTCTTTGATGACATTCTAATTTATAGCCCTACATTGGAGAGTCATTGGGAGCATTTAAGAGAGGTTTTGAGGATCATGAATAGCGACGGGAACATAATTCGTTGTGGATTCGTGACGGTTTTTGCGACGGAACGTGTTCCGTCGAGATTTTGCGTCAGAAATGGTAACAGAATGCAATTTCGTAGCGATTTTTGGCGCAAAGTGAGAAAAAACCTAGGAAATTTTGGCGCCCAAATTTTAGTGACGGATTTTGTGATAGAATTAAGTTCTGTCGCTACAATAGCAACGGAAAAGGCAACGGTCGATGGTTCCGTCGCGATTTTGCTATAGAATCGGGGACAAGAATAAATTTCGTTGCGATATTTGGCGCAAAGTGGAAAATATTCCCACGTAATCTTTGCACCAAGGGATCGACGACGGAGGCTGACGACGGAATTCACGACGAGAATTGTTTTCGTCGTGAAAATATATAAATTTTCAAGTAAAACTTATTTTTGCTACAGAATAGGACGGCATAATCAATTCTGTTGCCAATATGTTGACACGTTGGCGACAGAAAACGCGGCGGCCTATATGTTTGTCGCGCTTCGGCGATGGAATTGGCAATGGAAGTTAATTCTGTTACGATGTTTGGTGCAAAGATAGATTTGACATTTGAGGTTGGCGACGAAACTTATGACGATCGTTCTTTTCGTCACTAAAATATTTAATTTTTTAAGTAAATTTATTTTTGCTATAGAATGCAACGACAGAATCAATTCCGTCGCTAATATGTTGACACATTGGCGATAGAAAATGCGACACCCTATTTGTTTGTCGCGCTATGGCGATGAAATCGGTAACGAAAATTAATTTTGTTGCGATGTTTGGCGCGAAGATAGATTTCACAGTTGAGTTTTGCGACGGAACTTGCGACGATCGTTGTTTCTATTGCAAAAATATTTAATTCTTTTAAGTGAAGTTTATTTTAGCTACAAAATGCGATGAGAATATCAATTTCGATGTTGAAATGTTGACACGTTGACGACAAAAAATGCGACGCCCTAAATGTCTATCGTGTTATGGCGATGGAATCGGCAACGAGAATTAATTTTGTTGCGATGTTTAGCGCAAAGATAGATTAAATGTTATTTCCTAAAATATAAATATTTAATTTATAAAAGATGGTTTACATTATTATTATTATTATTATTATTATTATTATTATTATTATTATTATTATTATTATTATTATTGTTATTGTTATTGTTATTGTTATTGTTATTGTTATTGTTATTATTATTATTATTATTATTATCATCATCATCATCATCATCTAAAATCTAAATTTAAAAAAAAAAAATACTTATAGGAGTTGTACATTGCACTATAAATTTTGTACTATAAAAATACACTGTTAAACTTCCTTTAACATATGTTAAATGTTACTATAATTATATTTAATCATTTATCATATTTAAAATATGTACTTTAAAAACATAATCTTATAGTGAGACAAAATCACTTTTACTACAAGTTTTGTTAGAAATTAATAGCATTATATCTTCGGGAACGTGTTAGTTCATCATGTTAGTTGATTAGTGAATCTGATTGCTCATATGTTAGCAAGAGCCTCAGGTTCTTATGCTCGTAGAGGAAGTGGATCTCCATCGCTCTTAGGTGTATTTCTAATATTATTTCCAATTAATAGCATTGCACATTCCTTTCAAAAAAAAAAAATAATTATACAATAATAATTACCTAAATTATCAACTATACTTTTAATATAATATGAATTTTACAATTCTGATTTTTTTTTTAAAAAAAATTATATACTATTATTTAAAAAAATATTTCAATATATGTACAATTTTAATATTAAGTATTATTATTTGACATATATATATATATATATATATATATATATATATATATATATATATATATATATATCAAATAATAATACTTAATTAATATGTCAGATCCATTTATTCAGGCTCAAATTGGGATCGATCTTAAGCTTAAATCTATTTATTCATGCTCAAACTGAGATGGTTTAAATGTGGTGTGACTGTCGTGATGAATTTTGACACTAAATTAATAGTCGTGGATGAAAATTGGTACTAAAATAATAGTCGTGAATAAAAATTGATAGGAAATAAAAATATATACCAAAACTGTCATTTTGTTAATAATCGTAGGACCAAAATTGGTATTTGATCTGGACATTTTATTGATTTAACGCAAGACAGAAAACTTCCGCTAAAGAAACTGTTCGCAAACCACCTCATCGTTCGCAACCTATCTCCACCTCCACAACCCAAAATTTTCGCCCACAGCCGGTCTTCCACCAAATCTGTCTCTCACCACCGTTTCCATTGCTTGTTAGTCCTTTGCTTCGTACGTCGTTGTCGTCGGGTTCATTGCCAATTACAACTGTTCAATTCATTGTCTCGTGCCACTACATGTTAGTCTCTAAATCTTAAATTCTAAATCCTAAATTTCTAATGTCATAAATTACTAATTCCATTAATGTTAATGCAAATTTAAGAATATGAAGGCATGAAGTGGTTGTAAAATCATAGAATAATTAATACATACATAATAGTAAGCACCCATGTATTTGCTTTTATTCCCTTGTTGGGGATAGTGAATCCATATTGAACATCAATCTGCAAAATCCATATCAAGCATCCATCTGCAAGTAGTTTAGTCTTCCTTTTCCTCTTATTCTCTCTCTCTCTCTCTCTCTCTCCTTTTTTTTTTGTTTTGTTTTGTTTTTTTTTTTTTTTTTTTTTTTTTTTTTTTTTTTTTTTTTGTTTGTGATTTCATTAGTTCTATATGTTGTTAGCTATTTTTGTTTCTTTCATCTGGTGAGTGAAAAGTTACTTAAATTGTAGGCCTCTATTCAAGGTAGAATAACTTAGTACTAATGATGATGATTGATTGGTTTCTACGTTTAAGTGATTGCATTACCTTGAATATATATAATGATAATGTACAGATTTATATCACTACAAAAAAAAAAGGTACTGATTTATATTGCATCTATTCTTTCAACATGCATGTCATGTAAACATAACATGCTGTACTATGTAATACAACTTCAATGACTAATTTACTTTTCTTTTATTACTCTGCCATCTAGAGGCACTTTAAGAGCATGGAACCTTCCTGATGGTGAGATGGTGTGGGAGTCATTCCTTGCTGCCTCAAGTCCTTCAAAATAAATTTTATTAGTTCATGTAAATTAATTTTGGCTGGTCAGAAATGCTTTCATATAATAGTTTCTACATGATTTTTTCATTAAGTGCTACCATTAACATTATTTTATTTTCTAAACACTTTGCAGTCAAATTTGAAAGTGTACAGAGACAATTTTATCCTTATTTATAGTGGTCATACTGTTTTAACCACAGAAGGGGAGGTTATTTGCAAATGAAGGGTCTGATGAATAATACGGAGTATCAATTTACATTTGTAACCTCTTGCTTTGCCATTTTTTTTAATGAATTATTATATTGTTGTTTAGACATGAATTTGATATTAAGTACAACATTAACTTTTTTTAGCTATAAAGTAGTATTACTTTTATATTACAAATGACAAATTATATTGTATTTTAGTTTTAATAGTGTTTTTGTTTATAAATATAATTGCATATTAAAATTTTAAATGCTAACATTAGAATTTTAACAAAATAATATTAATTACAAAAATATTAAAAATTAATTCTTTAGTAGAATCGTGACGAAATGTGATTTTAGCGACATAATATTCATTATCATTATGGCGACAAATTTGTGACGGAAAATTTTTGTTACCCAAAACACGACGGAATTTCGTAACGGAGATGAAATTTGCAACAAAAAAATTTAGCGACGTAATCGCGACAACAATTATTTTTGTCGTTATATTTCACGACGGAAATAGGCGATGGAATATGAGTTTCATGACAGAATTTTTTCTCAAGCGATGGCGATGGAAGGAAAACTTTCCATTGCCTAAATCGCGACGGAATCACGACGGATTGATTTCCGTCGCCTACATTACGAATGGAAAATTCTATCGCTTTTTTCGTCACCACCGCTCGCGACGTATTTCTTCTGTCGCGAAATGGAATACGACAAGCCTGGAGGCTACAGAATGAATTCCGTCGCGAAAATGCAAAATTCCGTCGCAAAACGCAATTCGCGATCAAATTTTGCCGTCGTAAATCGCAATTTTTCTTGTAGTGATAACCCTACATTGGAGAGTCCTTGGGAGAATTTAAGAGAGGTTTTGAGGATCATGAGAAACAACCAGCTGCTAGCCAAGCTCAAGAAATTCTCCTTTGCCAAAACAAAAGTGGAATACCTTGGACATATCTTCTCAGAAAAAGGATTGCAGACTGACCCTGCTAAGTTGGTTGTTGTGGCCTCTTGGCCTAAACCAGCTAATATCAAAGAGCTAAGATGATTTTTGGGTCTCACTGGCTACTATAGAAGATTCATCAAGTCCTATGGAACCATTAGCAAACCACTTACCAACATGCTTAAAAAAGATGCTTTCCAGTGGAGTGTTGAGTCTGAAACTGCCTTTGAAAGGTTAAAGGAGGCCCTGTGTACTACCCTAGTCCTTACATTGCCTGATTTTGATAAGGAGTTTGTAGTAGAAGCTGATGATGCTACAAGGGGATGGAGGCTTTGTTGATTCAAGAGGGAAAACCCGTGGCTTATTTCATTAAGGGATTTGGAAACAAGCACTTTTGATTGTCTATTTATGAAAAGGAATATCTGTCTCTCATAAATGTAGTTGATAAGTGGAGGCCTTATTTGCTGGAAAAATATTTCACAATAAGAATTGACCATCAAGGCCTTAAGTTCTTATTGGAACAAAAGATCACAACAGCTATGCAATAGAAGTGGGTTAACCAAATTGTTGGGACTGAACTATACTATACAGTATAAGAAGGGAGTGGAAAACTGTGTGGCTGATGCTTTGTCTAAAAAAGGAAACTTGGACCAAGCTAAGCTATGAGCTGTTTCAACAGCCATACCACTTTGGATAGAGGAGATAATAACAAGCTATGAAGGTGATGACTTGGCCTCCAAAATTCTTATTGTGAACCTGGTTGCACCAGAAGAAGGTTCTCTATTTACTGCAACAGAAGAGCTGATTAAGTACAAAGGGAGGCTATACATTGGGAACAAAGGGTATCTGAGAAGCAGGTTGTTGGTCCAGATGCACTATTCTCCCATAGGGGGGCATTCTGGACAGGAAGTAACATGCCATAGGCTTAAGTAACTTTTCTATTGGAAGGGAATGAAGAGGGAAGTAATTCAGGCAGTCAAGACTTGTGACATTTGTCAGAGGTGTAAGGAGGAAACTGTAGCTTATCTTGGGCTGCTACAACCTTTGAAAATTCCTGAGCAAGCTTGACAAAGCATTTCAATGGATTTCATTGAAGGCCTACCTAGGTCCCAAGGGAAGGAAGTCATTATGGTAGTGGTGGACAGATTCACCAAATACAGCCACTTCTTAGCTCTATCTCATCCCTACACAGCTGAAAAAGTGGCTGATTTGTTCATGGAACACATGACATTGTGAGTGACAGGGATAAAGTCTTTGTAAGCAAATTTTGGAAATCAATTTTCAAACAGTTGCAAGTGAGCTTGAATATGTCTTCTGCCTACCATCTCCAAACTAATGGGCAAACAGAGAGAGTGAATATGTGTGTGGAAACCTATTTATGGTGCATGGTCTTCCATAAACCCAAGACTTGGATCAAGTGGGTACATCTAGCTTTGCACTGGTATAACACCAATTTCCACACCTCCTTGCAGTGCTCACCCTTCCAGGCACTCTATGGTTATTTGCCTCCCACTTTAACTTTTAATGTGGTCACGGAAGGGGAGGGCAGTGATTAGTTTAAGGAAAGGGATACAATGGTGGCTATTGTCAAAGAAAATCTCCAAAAGGCCCAGGCTAGAATGAACCAACAAGCTGATAGACATAGAAGTGAAAGGAGCTTTGAAGTGGGAGATTGGGTTTGTCTCAAGATACAACCTTACAAGCAGATTTATGTGGCTGTCAAGGCTAATATCAAGCTCACCTCCAGGTTTTATGGCCCTTTTAAGGTGATTGGGAAGGTGGGGATAAGGTGGCATATAAGCTGGAACTTCTTAAGGGAGTTGCTATACACCCAGTCTTCCATGTTTCCTAGCTGAAAAAGAGAGTGGGTGAGGGGATTGTACCACAAGCAGAATTGCCTACCACTGATCCTGAGGGCATGGTTCTTACCCACCCTGTGGCAGCTTTGGGCAAGAGACTAATCAAAAGGAACAATGCAACAGTAATCCAGATCTTGGTCCAATGGGCAAACTTACCTTGTGAAGCAGCTACCTGGGAGGACTATCATCACATAATTAGGCAATTCCCCACCTTTGATCCTTGGAGACAAGGATCCACTGGAGGAGAAGGCAATGTGATGACCTTGGCAAGTGGATTGATTAGGAAATCACATTTGGGGAATGAAATGATTTTAGAGAAAAATGAAAGTCAGGGGCTGAGTGGAATAACAGACAAAAATGACGAAACAAAGTCGTAGGAAGAGAAGAAGTTGTTGGCAGTTGAAACTAACCTGAACGACGTCGCATGAAGCTTGACAGTTGGGGGCAGTTTGCGAAGGGTCCGACGACGTCGTTTCACATTTGATGAACTGAGCTGTGTATCAGTAGATTCTAGAAGCTGTTGAGGCAACATTCTCCTGCAAAAATAACAAACATTGTCCTTATATACTTTGTATTTTTGTCTTTTTGGATTATGTTTTTTTGGTTATTAAATGAATTTCACTTTCTCTCTCTTCTGAATTCTCTCCCAACACTCTCTCTTCTTCTTTGATTTTTCTTCCCCCTTTTCTGCTAAACCCTGCTAAGGCTGTTTGGTTCACGGAATAAATTTGGTGGGAATAGGAATGATATTCCATAGGGAATGGAATAGTTAAGCAATAGAATAGGAATTGTACTCTGTTGTTTGGTTCGCTGAAGAAATAGACTTTGGGAATTGTATTCCAACGTTTGGTTGGTTAAGGAATAGAAATGGAATATATGTTTAAAAGACATAAATGCCCTTGCACAAAATATATTATTATTATTATTATTATTATTATTATTATTATTGTTATTATTATTATTATTATTATTATTATTATTATTATTATTATTATTATTATTATTATTATTATTATTATTATTATTATTATTATTATTGATCACTGCCGAATCAGATCATTAGTATCTAGTATCACCATTAAACTAAACCTTACCATCTATATTTACAGGTTCACGCCATTTTCAACGATTCATATATATATATTATATCAACACACATCTATCAAAAAAATATATAAATATTTATGAAAAAAAAAAACTAAAATATAAATAAACTGTGTAGTGTGTGTGTGTGTGTGTGTGTATATATATATATATATATATATATATATATATATATATATGTGTGTGTGTGTGTGTGTGTGTGTGTGTGTGTGTGTGTGTGTGTGTATATATATACACACACACACACACACACACACACACACACACACACACACACACACACACACACACACACACACACACACACACACACACACATACATACATATATATATATATATATATATATATATATATATATATATATATATATATATATATATATATATATATATATATAGGGACGCACTCAGGTGCGAATAAGTGCCCAGGAAGGAAATGCGAACGAATCAGCGCGTGACACGTGTCCAGATCTAATAACTTAAAAAAAACGCGGTGGCATTTTCGTAAATAATTGAACATCAAAGTGCAAGTAAAATCTCTTATAAGTGCACCTATTTTCACCTATAAGTGCATGTAATTTTGCCTTGTTAGCATTCACTTTCCGCAACCATTCATGCACCTGGGTGTGCTTATAACTATATGTGCAACTATTTATAACTATAGGTGCAACTACTTATAACTATATGTGCACCTACTTTCACCTATAAGTGAATGTAATTTTGTCTTGTTAACATTCATTGATCTGAGTTCAGCGGGTAGTAATACTCCTGAAAACCACTCGCAAACATTCATACACCTAGATGCAACTACTTATACCTATGTGTGCAACTACTTAGAACAATAGGTGCAACTACTTAGAACTATAAGTGCAACTAAGTATTGATGCTCAGTGTAAATTTTTACTTGCACCTATAATACATTTTACATGCACTTGTAATACATTTTACTTGCACTTCAATGTTCAATTATTTACGAAAATGCCACCGCGTTTTTTAAAAAAATCAGTGTTTCTCATCCATTAGATCTGGACACGTGGACGAACAGAATCCATTCCTATTTCGCGCCTGGGCGAGCCGTTCGCACCCGAGTGCAACTCTATATATATATGTATGTATATATATATATATATATATATATATATATATATATATATATATATATATATATATATATATATATATATATATATATATATATATATATATATATATATATATATATATATATAGAATAATTTTCCGGTGCACTCCATTCTTAAAGTGTGAACAGTGTGCACTCATCTTAGCCGTTCGTTGTTAGATGATCAATGATCACGGGTGAGGATGCATGGGCCTGTGTGCACCGCGATTTAGCGGTGCAGCTTCGCTCTTGACAATTGCGGGGACGTTTTTGGTATTACCCTATTCGTTCGGCATTGGGCGTAATCAGGGGTTACAGTTCTAAATAATAGGTTTTCAAAAAAAAAAAAAAAGAATATTCTAAATAACAATATCGTCTGCGACTTCTATTAGTTCAATTCGTCTCTCTGTTCCTTTCGCTATTGCAGGTTGATTTTCGGAAATTCGTCTCTCCGTTCCTTTCGCTATTGCAGGTTGATCTTCGGAAGCTCATGGCGCGTTCAAGTGGATATTGCCGGTTGAAGGGGGGTAGGCCTGGGCGTCCGTTCACGCCAGCAACACTGCCGGTAGCTATTTCGCATAGTGTTGCAGTTCGGACCCGGACCTTCAAGCGGCGGGCAGGCGACCGTCCTTTGCGTTCGACGGCTCGTGGGGTCTGCGATCGTCCGGCGTACGGGGTAGTGGCGAGGGTTGCTGCAAGGAGGCCGGCGGCGCAGTGGGGTTAGTTCCGATTCCCTTGCGGTGTTTTATTTATTTATTTATTTATTTATTTTTTTTCCTTTTTGGGTCAGTGGATTTGTGTGTGGGCGCATAATTGGGTATTTGTGTTGTATGCTGGTGTGTTTTAGCTAGGTAGGGTTCGATGTCAAATTTCCAGGGTGCGTGGGAGGTTGTTTGTGCAGAAGTGTTGGTGGGGAATTGAGCTCCTTCATTGGAATTGTGGGGTTGGCGTGGTCAAGTTAGTTGGGGTTGGAGGTACTCGCACTTTGATCACTTGAAGCTGTTACTATGTTGTTGCCTTCAGAGAACCAGTTTATGGCCATCACTAAAATATGACAAGATTGCTCTGCAATGTTATATCAAAGTCTCGTGCTGAGATCTGGTTATTCATATTTAGCAATAGTATTTAATGCTTGAGTTATGTGAATATTCATTTAAGGAAGTTGGTTTAATTGATAGATTGAGTTAACATCACAATAAATCATTTAAGACAGTGCAAACTGCAGTGTGTGTTTCCATGTTAGCACTCTGGTGCAGGTTGCTTGTTTCATTTTTCTTGTTTAATCAATTATTGGCCATCTTTAGCTGAGATCTGGCTATGCATATGTGGCAATATAATAGTATTTAATGCTAGAGTTATGTGCTATGGCATTATCTGTCCATTTAAGATAGTGCAAGCTATATAATCATCATGTAATGTTCCATTCCAACAGTTAACCCATTATTATACACTTCCATTTTTTGTTACCGACTTTCTTGAATGAATATTCACATGCAATCAGATATTAGACAATAAGGAGGGTGTGGTTTAAATATCATAGAGTAAGGAGGGAGAGCATTGTGGCACTGGAATCAATTAAATGGGAAAACTAAACAAGCATCTGAACATTACAGACTTGGGTTTACCTGCATTCTCTAATGGGGTACAAATAATACAAGTAATAAAATCACATGATTTAAGCTTCTCCCTGCGTTTGTTTCTTTGGTTTGTCTCAGGACGGGATGCACAAGGTGAGGACAGAAGTGGGTCTAGTGAGGACTTCTACACCCCACCACGGGTCCTCGAGGATGTGGAGTACGAAGGATCACCACGTGCTGAGCCTACGCACGCGGATTGCCAATTTCCCCAAATCAACACGCGGGGGATGCCTAAGGAACTCGTGCGGGTTGTCGGGTCGCTAACACCACGGCAGAGGCAGGATGTCATCAGCATTGGAATGGGGAGCCTATTGGGGTTGCAAATCAAGGAGTTACCACTTCGCCTTGGCTATTGGTTGGTCTCTTGTTTTAACCTCGGAAGTGGAATTGGACTTGGGCAATGGGAGATACATCAAAATTACCAAGGAGGACGTTGTAGCTATATTGGGACTTCCAAATGGTACGATACCGATCACGGAGCGTGATCCGCAAGTTGTCAGTCCTGACCTGGACCAATGGAGGACCGAGGTGAAGCAACAAAGAGGGAGGGTCACAATCAAGGCGTTGAGCACATTGCTTCTAGGTCTCAAAGATGGTGGGGTTTGGTTTAAACGACATTTTAGTGTCGTCGCTTTAAGCACCCTTATTTCAAGCACCCCCAATGGGTATGTAAACCAGAAGATTATGCACATGTTTAGCGACGTAACCAAGATCAAAGAGCTAGATTGGTGCGGGTATCTTTTGCACTCGTTGGGTAGCACCCATGCTAGTTGGTCTGAAAACACCTCTCGCAAATTCACGGGACCATTGCTCTTTCTAACTGTAAGTTTGATTTTGTGTTATGATGTATGATGAAAATTTACTTGTTAATTATCATTTGCTAATGTGTGGGGTAATCTTCTTTGTGCAGCTCTTGTATGTTGATAGGGTGGTGGTTACTGCACGGGATGTGTCGAGGACAATCCCAGTGTTGGACGGGTGGACCACGGAGCAAATAAAAGCACGGGAGTGCCGGGAGGTTGGTGCAGGGGCGTTTGGCAACGGCCAGGTGGTAGCACCTCTGCGTGCATCCAGCTTTCCAACGACCATGAGATCAGCCAGGACAAGGCCATGGGTAGTCCAGCCACCAGAACAACGGTATGCACTCGGTGCCCCCTGCCGAGCCCCCGGTGGCACACATCACGGTATGACAGGAATATTCTTCCCATCAAGTTGTATTTTATGTTGTCAAACATTTACTTGATAGATTAAGGTCACGTTTGCTATAGGGATTTGACGAACAGTTTGCAACCATTACCGGAGACCTGCTCTCCATTGCTTCACGAGTTGTTGATATGGTACAGCACCACCCCAATCTAGCCCATGACCACTACGATTTTGATCGGGTTGTTGCTGCAATGGATTTGTTGCACGGAATAATTCAGAATCCTAAGCCTAGAGAGATACCTCAACCCCCCGCCTCGTCGCCAGTTCACAACGACGAAGCCATGTGGCATGACCCTGAATTCTTCAAGGAGTTGGACCGATTGGAGTTGGAGGCGATGAAGTCTATCGGGGGGGTCGATGCCCCTAGTTTTAGCCTAGGGATGACACAGGAGTTGGCTACACAAAATCTGGAAAAGAATAGGGCGCTACCGCCGGGTGTTGGCACACCGTCTCATCAGGTTTGTGTCTAAACTTCCTCATTGTCGTGCGCTATTATGTTAACTTATGTGTATGACGAAATCTGGTGCTAGGTACCTCTCCAGATGCAGCAGATGGGACCTGGGTTGCAGCCATCCCCCCAATGTGTGGGCCTGGGGAGGCGGGATGTGGCAGAACGCAAAGGGAGGGGTCCGATTGTCCAGGGAGAATATCCGCTTGGCATGTTTATTAGCACCACCAACGGTTACCCTACCATTCCTCTTCCACACATATATGCTGTCTGGGTGTGGGTGTTTGGCTGCCCGCATTATGACTGGTAAGTGGGGTTGTTGGAGTAAAAGTGCAGTGCATTACATGCATGTAATTTAAATACCATTATGAGAGGGAAAGGTAGGTAGCTTAGATAGCTAATTTAACACTAAATAAAAGAAACAAAAGCCAGAACCATTCTAATGGAACCAAAATGCCCATTCCACATTTTCATGTATATTATTATCTGCTCCATTTTCAAACCTTTTAACCCTTCAACCGTGAGTTTCCCCAGTACTGCAGCGTAGTGCATATGAAGCCTGCTCAACATTTTAATCTACCAGACTGCCCAACTGATAACTATGAGCTAATTTTCTATATAAGCTAATTTTCTATCATTGGAACCACTCATTCATTTCTTTTGAAACTAACATTTTGGGTTATCTTTGTAGCAATGAGGTGCTATTCCAACATAGCAAGCGGAAAGCAAGATGGTCAGATTTCAAAACGTTGAGGGAAAGGACTAACGTGGTAAAGACAGTAGTGGATGCATGGTGCAGCGTGCTCAATCTCAGGGAGAAAACGAAGGGGGGGGGGGGGGGAGGAACCCTCCCGCATCTTTTTCTCGACTAGTACCACGGTGAATATCTTCAACCCTATCGCACGACCTACATAAACTACCGGTGTTTAACATATCTCTTTGCAGATTGGCACTGTCGTGTCCATTTCCTCCAGCCAAGATGAGAGGGTTATGTGGTTTACAAGGCGACTAGATGAGGAACTCAAGACTACAAACCATGTAGGGACGGCGACTATAGATATGGTAACCATTCGAAAACTTTTAAATAATTTTACAGAACGTTGTATATCATGGAAAAACCAATAACTAACGCAGTCATGGTGTGGTTGTCTAGTTTATTTTCCCAATAATGCATGGGGGCCGATTCTACATGATGAGCATCAGTTTCAAACACTCTAGGTTTTATATTATCGACAGCTAGTCCATCAACAAAACAAACAAAGAGTTGTATGACGGAGCACCGCAAGAGTTGGTACGTGACTAACCAAATGAATTTTCCAAAATGATGGAATATAATGAACCTACTAAGTGCTTGGATTTTGATATTATCCATATTGTTTTTGGGCAGATTGACCTACTAAGCACGTACTTAGATAGCAAACAACAAACGCTTCGTGCATTCCGGCTAGAAAGCATGAAACCAAAAAGGATGCAGATGCCGTGGAGAGACACTACATCTACCCTCGACTCTGCGGTGTTTACAATGCGGCACATGGAATCATACACTGGTCAAAAGTGCGCAAATTGGGATTGTGGATTGCGTCGAGGAAATAGCCAACAACTTCTAGATCTACGGAAGCGTTTCATGCACAACATACTTTTTTGTGAGGTCAATGAACACATGGAGAATATAGCCTCTCGTGTCGGCGAATATGATATCCAGAGGTTGGCACAACTCTAGTATTGAGTGCGGCTAACAGTGCAGAAACAAACAGACGGTACTTCGACCAGGGCGACATTAGTTAGTACAGTTTTTAATGCTAAATTGGTTCATTAGCTAGTACAGTGTTTTATTGGAAAACGGGTGCATTTCGTTACGGACACCTACGGTTTAGTCGTATGTAGGGGTTATTTATCTTACTATTTGAGTGCAATAAGGATGTGAATCATTTGCTTTTTGTTTCATCTTTCGGTTGCAGCATAAATTTTGGGTTGTGCAATGATTAATTGCTCATTAATTGAAAGTATGGGGTTGCTCTAAGTCCTAGAAATAATTTCTACTAGTTGCGCTCAGAATGGTCGTGCTTAAAGTGAGTCTTAGTATATCTTAATTTGGGGTGTAATGTTCTGCACTTCATGCAAACTCTGAAGTGTTCAGGTAAGGGTTATGGATATCCATTTTATCATGGCAGATTGTAGAATATGAAGGGAAGGATGCCTACTCAGTGCTCGGCAATGCACATCCAAACACGATAAACATATATGCTTTACCAGTGATAACTATTAGCAATAAGCAACCTTTGTTTAGGCTAGTTACATAATTAAAAAGCTTTTGAGCTATAGGCGTGCAATCTGCATTTAACGGGCTCTTAAATAATAAAAGTTCCAAAGCAACAGGGACATGTGTTATGACTAACTAAACCAAATGAAAATTGTTATAAACCAATTAAAATAAAATAAAAACATACAGTCTGCTAGCAAACGAATTAAACTAAACTAAAAACACACAGCCTGCTTCGTGCATTCCAGCTATCAAGCTAATTAAACTAAAATAAAACAAGCATGTTCGGTGTTCGGTACCATGGGTTATGACTAACTAAACCATATTGCACCTGGAAGGACAACTACGAGCATTATGACGGGCATACTCACCGCACAACCCACACTTTCGGCCAACTTTAGCACTGTTCTCTATGGCTATCTCGCGGTTGCTTTTAAGACGCTTCCCACTACCTTTGTTCTTAGCTTGGGCCGGGGGTTTAATGGTTATTGATTGCGGTGGCTGTACCCCACATAATGCCGCGATCGCAGCACTGTTACCCTTTGCGGTGCCGGTGTTTGTACCGTCGCATGCAAATTCCTTGCTCAATTCTTTCAATACCTGCACCATTCGGGCTTGACGCGCCGTGCTCTCACCCACCAGCCCTACACACGTGTTGATCTTAGACCATAATTCTGTTGCTCTTGTTTGTGGGACGTGTTCGTTGGGATGTCGCCCTCGACAAGCACCGCAACTCAGGTGTTTGCGCCAACGATCCATGATGTACTGGGATGGTAACTGCTCTAGATGTGCTCCTTTGAACACCAAGAACATATGCCGGCAAATCAACCCCATTCGTTGGAACATCTTGCAACTGCAAAAAGCAATACACCCATCCGGCTTGTAGTGTACAGTGTACGTGGTGGTGGAATCACCCGTAATGTCATAATAAATGTCCGTACCATCCTTACGGATATCCACAACTTCGCAATAGAAACAGGCAGCATCAATCTCTGGTTGCGTATCATAGAAAATAGCGAGTGTGAACAATTTTGCGATGTCCCGCTCTAACGCCAAAGGGGTTTTAAACTCGGGCAAGTACCCCTCGCATTGGGCATCTAATTTAGCTTGCTTGTGGCCCTGAGTCTCAAGGACACTCTCGAACTGAATGTAAAACTGAACCAAACTAGAATGGGGGCGGGTGAACTTCCCATAAACGCTGTTCTGTGCCTCAGACCGGGATGTGGTGCGTACCAACCCACTCATTGGCAAATCAGAGAAAAATGCAGGGATCCAATGCTCTCGTTCTGCAAACAACTTACGAAACCAACGGTGCTCAGACAAGTTGTATTCTTCCATTAGCAGCTGCCATTGCACTTCGAAATCACTGCTGGAGATCCTTTCATTCCAAACAATATCATTCAAACTCTTGCGGAACACCTCATTCTTTGCTAACTCAGGCCCGACTTTTTCACTAACCTTTGTCATAATGTGCCACATACAATAACGGTGGCGACACTCAGGTATAATTTGGTCCATAGCAATCTTCATAGCTGGGTCCTGATCGGTGACAGCACATAAAGGGGGCTTCCCCATTGCACCAATGAATCTCTCTAGCAGCCAACTGTACGATTCCACATCTTCTTTAGTGATTAACCCGGCGGCGAAAGTAATGCAGCGCTTGTGGTTGTCCACTCCAGTAAATGGCACAAACACCAAACTATATCTGCATCACATAAGAACAATTAATAGTTAAGATATCGAAAAAAAAGTACTACCAACTAATAGTGAATTTGATTGCTGTGCATTACCGTTATTATAATGTTGGCTTTTCCCCTTATTAATCAGTTAGTGAACAGTATGAATCTTCAAACAATTTTGTTAAATGGCATCAAACATGTGAACTGTAACTTTTATTTTTTATTTTTTTGGATTAGGCACCAGCAACCTATTCACATAAACCTTATATGTATGCCATGTCTACACCCGAGGACATAATTCCAAAAAAAAAAAAAAACACATAACAAAAGGGGAGATCGGTTACTACAGCCTTTAATGAAAGTAACTACATACCTGTTCGTGCTGTACGTGGCGTCGAACGAGATCACATCACCGTAACAAGAAAAACTCCCCCTACCAATAGGGTCCGCCCAAAAGAGTCGTGCAAGCCGATTTTCTTCATCGAGGTGGTAATCGAAAAAGAACCTGTCGCAGACTTCACGCTTTGTTTTGAACCTTTCGATAATCATCTCACCGTCAACCACATCAACATACGATTGCAAGTCCCGTTTAAAATTATGGAACTCCATGTCCGTTGCACCAACATTCTCATACGAACCGGCCACCTCCTTACATAACCTAAACCCGGTGGAATAACCAATGTTAGCCTTAATGCAATTTGCTAGAAATGCTTGTTGGGCCACACTAAGCTTCCGGTTGCCCCGCAAAAATAATTTAGCACCCTCGGAGCACATACTATGGTTGTGTTCCTCAACAAATGTAGACACCGTAAACTCCCCATTACTCTCTTTCTTAAATCCAAGCTTTGCGCGGCACCCCACTCTGTTAGAGGTCCGTCTCCGTCGTTTCTTGTTGCTACCATTGCCGATATTTAGTTCTATTATGGGTTTGCTACTTCCACCTCGTTTGGCCCCTTGTCTGTTACATACTAAATGACGGGAAATAATTTCACCACCACGATCCCTCTTAATAGAACTATGCCGGATGTCAAATCCACCTACTCGTCCGTAGGTTTTGAAGAATTGGATTCCTTCGTCTAGGGAGGTAAAACGCTGACCGACTGTTGGCACCAGGCCAGCGTCCACATTTGGCTTCCAGTATTGTTTAATCGCAGTTTTAAATCTCGTCGTGCTGTGCGTTTCATCCCCAGTACCTAAATCCTCGGCAAGTAACACTGCAGTGGGTGCACGAGAACATTGTTAGCCAATATATATTCAAGGTTGAGCATGTATTAAGGAGTATCAAGCATCGGAGTGCACTGTAGGAATACAACAACATAGTTAAAGCTTCAGGAGATCAAAGTGCAAGTACCTCTTCTATGGTTTTTTTGGTTCGTCATCTTAAAATATGTTTCACAATGAGGTTTCTTTCGTATACAGTAAGTAATGTTTCCCTAAGAGCACAAAAATTATGGTTTATGATTACTAATGATGTACATGAATGTTATAAAAACAATGCATAAAGGTTTTGCATTACAACTAGTTTGAATGTTATCACTTATTTCACTGTACCACACACGGAATTGGTTACTAGTATTAATAACTAAAAACACACGTATAGTATTAAACAAGGGGAGAAAAAGGGTTACTGATTCAAGAAAAAATCAATAATTATGAAGGAAATTTATGCATCCAATGAGTCTGTAATCAATATGGCGGCACAACAACCAAAAAAAAAAAAAAAAAACCAACGAAAAAAAAGTGGGGAGACGGGGAACGGAACCTGTAGCCGGATGCTCTGCCGCGTCCGCTGCCGGAAGTTCTTCACCGTGCGTAACCATCGTCATCATCGGTTGGAGTCAGGGAGAATAGGTACGTTAAAACAAGGAATCCAGTGTAAGGAGTAGTATTCAAGTCCAATGCAATTTTAAATATAGAAAGAATTACCGCAACTGCCCCGCGAGCAACATGTGTGCCAGTGCGTCGTAAGAGGATGTACGTTTATTTAGGACAGTTGGATGCACGAAATTAACGTACCGGATGAGTGCACACGTTCACACTTTAAGAATGGAGTGCACCTGAAAATTAGCCTATATATATACACACACACACACACACACATATATATATATATATATATATATATATATATATATATATATATATATATATATATATATACACACACACACACACACACACACACACACACACACACATATATATATATATATATATATATATATATATATATATATATATATATATATATATATATATTTTAGCCTGAATATTCTCAATATAAATTATTTTACTTTGAAATTGAAATAAACTAATTTATAAACCATAATATTACCTAAACTTTAGCCCAAATTATATACTCTAGATATAAATTAATAAAAACAAATATGAATTTTTGGAAAAAAAAACCCTAACTATATATATGTATTTATTTTTATTTATTTTTTTGTTTTGGTTCATCTTCAACCTCCTCCTTCATCTCTCACTCTTTTTCGTTCGATCTAGCAGACGGCAACAAGGGAAGCTCCGACGCAGCCACCACCCTCCATCTATCTACCTTCTTCCCTCTCTTGCTTCCTCAGTCAGCGGCGGCCATGGTGGAGCTCTGGTGACGGCAGATAGAGACAGCAGGGAGTAGATCGACGAAGCTCGAAGGCGGTTGACCTTTTTCCGGCGTGCACTTGGACGTCGAGTAGCAGCAGATCCGATGGATGGCAGCATATCTGGATCAAGTCCTCCTCTCCGGTGATTTTTCCAATAGTTTTCAGCTATAATCTTCGACGCTGATCACGAAATTTCTGCTCTAATGATCGTCTCTGCATTGTGACGATGGTCATGAAGATGGGTGACCGTGCATCTGATGACCCAGGCCCGGTCGACGACATAGTTCGACGTTTCCAAGCAGAGTTGCGGTGCGCTGGTTTCACTGCCTCTCCGCCGGAGATTTCATAGCTGAACGCCGGCGATTCCTCTGCTGCAATTCCGATCAAAATTTCCCATCCTTTGTTTGAAGCTTGAAGAAGAATCCAATCTGATGCAAATGGCAGAAATGATGGGAAGACAGAGAAAAATTACCTAAAAGATTTTAGGTTAAACAGGGGTAAAATAGGAAATAAAATATAAAATCTATTCCTTAGTACTTAGGAATAGGTTAATGCCAGGGGGCCCCTAGTAATAGCTATTCCCCTAAAAATTTTTACCAAACAAAAGAATAGACCTATTATTGGGAATGCTATGCCATTCCAGGCTTATTCCGTGAACCAAACGTGCCATAAGTGTCTGACAGTCTCCTTGCTCTGCTAGTCCAAACGAGGGGGAGAGAGAGATGAGAAGGAGAGTGAACTTTTTTCTTACTGGGTTCGCCGGTGCTGCCTCGCCGCCGGTCTACTTGCTCTGCTAGTCCGAACGAGGGGGAGAGAGAGATGCGAAGGAGAGTGAGAGAGAGGGC